CCAAGAAAAAAATCTATAGAAATTAAGGTTTTTTTAAATGCTGCTGTAACTCTGAGACACAGAAAACAAAGCGTAGGTGGTTGTACATATTAGCAGGAACACAGTAGGAGACTTCTATTCTAAAAATGTGGCTTTATCATTCCAGAGACATCACAACTCTCAGGTCACTTGGCCTGGAATTCATAGTCCACACCACCTTCAAGTGTCAGTACCACAAAGCTGGTTTGTCTTCAGCTCTATATTTGTATCTGATCAGTATGGTTAAAACTGTTTTCAGTTCTCTTGCATTAGGAAATTAGTTGGTTTTGCCGTGAATTTTCTCAGCTTCCATAGCATTCACCTGCCACTTCAGAAGTTGTTATATGAGTATCCAAGTGCTAAAAAAAGCAAGAACAAGAACAAAATTACAGAAACTTGTGGTGGTTTCATGTTAGGTGTTAGTAAGTAGCTGAAAATTAGCATTAACAAAGCATAGTTAAGCTAGAGCCTAACTCCAGCTGTGGGGCACAGAATGAGAATTATCAACCCTCAATGTTAATAAAGGTTAAAAAAGGTTAAGAAGTTTGCTTAGTTGGTTCCTCATTTTTCCCTGTTCCCCCTTCTACATAAAGCACATTTCCCACACAAGCACAGATCCTGATCTCTTCTTCCAACAAGCTAAACACCCAAACTACAATTACAACACTGACACAATATCAGAATGCTCCAACATACCCCACCTGTGATCATACTGAAAATTGTGGGAAAGAAAATTCCCAATTTATTTGACATTCTGGGAGCTTCATTTTCTGAAGAATTTTTTTCTTCTTTTCCTCGAACAGAATGAAAATAGGTATTTTTTTCTTAGAGAACAGTGAATCAGAAAAGACAGTGGAAAGGACAGTTTATTTTTTGACAGTGTTAGGAGGTAAAGAAGTGGTAGCACAAAGTGTATCTTGCTTTACATATTACATGGCAAGAGCTAAAAACCATACCGTAACAGATCGGCTGAGAAAGGTATCCTCCTATCACCAAAACATAGTAATTAGGTTTCCCACTGAGAGGCAGGGAACACAGCATCACTGTTAACCTGATGTACCACTAAGACCTGCACAAACTGGGCGTTGACAAACATTTCTAATCAAGAGCTCGCAATCAAAAAACCCTGAGGGGAGAGGGAGAATCTGAAATTTCTAAAAATTAGTTTGGATTTGCTTGACTCTCTGATACACTGCTAATGAAAACAATATAAACTAGAAAGGAAACTTCATCATACTGATTTGTCTGTATTTGTCCCTACTCACAACAGTGACTAAGACTGAATGAAAGTCCCCTTATTTTAAATAATAATCACAAAGTTTAAAACTTTGTGAATAGGCCTTTATAATTGCTGTTATTTCTTCTATTGCTTTCTCAATTACCAGTGGATATATCATTTTCGTAGTTACCCAGTGCTCTAATCTCTAAGCCGTACATTCAGTTCCCATGGGTCAATAAGACTTTTTAGATACATACATTGGTGCTTGGATGAGATATTAATTCAGAGAGGGACTCCCAAAAGCATCTGCTCTTTGTGTTAGGTTAACAGTTCCTGAATGCTAAAGATTCCCTTCAATGTAGAAGCATGAAGGAATACTGTCAAAGGATAGCATGAATCTTTGTGCTCTACATTTCTTGGGAAAATCAATGCATATTCTTCCAAACAGGATGCTGGACTGAAATACCAATTTCCCAAGCCTATCAGAAAACAGCAACCCCTTCCTAGGGCAGCATTTTTTATCGCAGGAAAGACGGTCTGACTGTGAAGTGGAATTCAATTCAAAATCCTGCTGAGAAGAAACCATCCCCTTCAGAGGAATAGAGAAAAGTAAGTACTGATGAGAAATTTTCCTTACCAATTATGTGTAATACAAGTACTGTGTGGCCCTTTCCAACAAGTAAAGTTGCTTATGAATCTTTCGTCTCAATTAAGGTTGGTTTCTTTACAGTTCAAGTCAGGACCTATATGCAGGTTACAAGACCCAGGAGTGAAAAGTTAAAACAGCAATGGTCTGAAGAAGGATAACGCTTGTAAAACGGACATTATATTCCACCTACCCCTTACATCAGGTTTCTGAATGTACAAGCAGACATCTCTTAGCTGACATTCACTTGTTTATAGTTGCAGATTCTTTGAAATTAATGCACACCATCTAGACAGATTCCCAATGCTGAAGCCTTTAGGAACTTGCATATTTTTAAAGTAAGGAGCAGAACAGTAGATCTGTCTTCCAGTCAGTCCCTTCTGCAAACATTGAGGTGGTAACCTTCCACTCACTACGCCCGCACATTAGCTCACTCTCTGGCTTTTCAGGGACAACTGGATCATAAAACCAATTTCCTTTTTTCCGTAACACCTTATAATGTGTCAGTGAAACAGCTATTTAGAAGAGCAATGTTTTACAGTGGAAGAGCAATGTTTCACAACTAGTCTGGTAACTACATTCAGCATCTGCTCTGAGTTATAATGGAATGAATATATATACCTCGGAGAACAATGAAAAACACTTCACTGAGACTTGGAAGAGAGAGTTAGCGAGAGATCATCTTAAAATCATCGCTTTTAAAGCATCCCAAGTCCCTCCTTACGTTTTTACTTTCAGGGTAAGGGCTGATGTAAAGAAATAGCCCTCTAAATTCGAAGATGTGATGTTCTTTGTTTTGTCCCACTCTACAAGTAAGTGAAAGGTATTATTTTAAAGTTATTTATGAGCTACATTGGACAGCTAATGACTAGTCTGATACAGGCATTTTTGTTGCATTTGCATCTCTGAAAGCAATTCTTACATCAGTAGAAGGTGGCTGCTGATGCAGAAGCAAAAAGCGCATTCTTAGGAGTAGCAAGGAGAGTCTGTAAGGGTGTGCCTGACTTTATTCATCAAAAAGCTTACACCTGCCCATGTACCTGACTTGCAGAAGCTGTGCTCTGCCAAATGATGCAGAGCAACAGCTAGTATGTTCTGTGCTCAAAATTGCTCATTCACAGTCAACAGTCAAGTTCAATCAAAATAAACAGTTCTGAAATAACTCAGGACTTTAAAGATGAAAAATGCCCTGTACCACTTACATTCCTGATATATTACAATTTCTAGACCATGTCTCATGTTCCTCAGCATAATAGATTGTCACACTGCTGAAATATTGTATTTTCTGATAGGAAGTACTTAGAAAAACCACACGGCATTCTGACATTAATATTTGAGTTTGGGGCTGCACTAAGTGAGTAATATAAGGCTGTCTGCTTTGAATTTCTCAGGATGCAATAGGCAGACACTGGAAGCATGCAAAAGAGGTGGGAAGCTGTTACATA